CCATCTCCCACCGTACATGAATGGTGCTGCGGTAGAAGGTGGCTTGACAGCGTACCGTAGAAGTGCGTGTCACGGTGGTACCCATCGTTGATTTCGCACCCAACGGTGGTATGGCACCGTGGTGCGAAAACACGAGCTGAAACGGCATGAGTAAATCGCATTTCCGCACCGGGATCGGTGTTAACGCACTCGGTGCGAGATCAACAAAATATGACCTGCTTAGGACGTAAAAATTTGCGTGCTTCCGCAAGCTACCGGTACCCTCCGGGCAACGTTTTAACCGTATGCACCGCACGCCTGTGGAATGCCAGTAGCTATCAACTAGGGCGCTATTCCTTTCAAATATTTCGTTATATCGTGGTGCGCGCGTAGAAATAGCTCAAGAGTACCGTATAATGACACTGCTGTGATTTCTTCAGCATCGCACCCATAGATGTCATCGCACCGGGGGTGCGTTGGAAATCTAGAACGAAACTATTTAATTTCCTTTCCGCACCGGCATCGGTGATATAGAACCCATCGGTGTTTGGCACCGGGGTGCGAAAAAGAGCAAAGAAAGGAATGATTTAAGAAACAATTGCACCCCGTGCCATAAAACCAACTTTTACGGTATACCGAGGAACACTAAAATTGAGGGAAAATAGCGACCGACATTCATCATCCATGAAAGCCGAACCATGTGTGCAACGGGAGAGCTATAAAGCATGCATGTTGGCAACAGAAGCGCGAAGGTCTCCAAAGCCGAGCAAATTCAAGACAGTGCTAAAACTCAATGGAACAAACAGACGGACGTCGACAGCCAACCATCCAAAGGATGCCCCGGCATTTTCCCAAGTCCAACCGTACACGAACAGGCTTTGCGCCATCTGACATGGCTGCGCTATCACGTTAGCACGAAAATACTCCAAAGTAAAACCAAGAGTCGTAGCCAATGATTTGCTTGGACTTGCCCCCGTGCTTGCGTCGTGCCCACGCCTTTTGTCAGAACCACGGATGCACACCTGGTGTGTTCTGGGCAGGACTTTGGGGCCATACTGCTGCTTCACGGAGGCCCAATTACTCTTGGAGATGCCCTTCAAGAATTCCCCGTCTGCGCCGGAAAGTGGACACAGGCAGCACAGGCACGGACACTGATTGCTGAAAGGTCGGTGCCCCGCAGGCGTGTGCACAAGCAAGAGGTAGCCTGCGAAGGGAAGAGGCGGCGACACCCACGAACACGACGCAAACCCCAAACTACGAGCGACATGCACGCAGCACTGTTCGCGCGCCACTATTACGCGCAAATAAACATACAGGGCACATATTTCAGAGCGAAAAAAACAGCCCGATTCGGGGGCCATACGCTCACGGAGACAATGTTAAGGGACGGTGCACATCATCCTGGACGTTGCACACACACCCTGAGAGCAACCATGCCTGTATAAACAGGCACCGTTCCACCACATGCAAATACATCGAGTACGATGGTCGAGGAATGTCATTTGCTGCACAATCCCCCGTGCAGGGGGATATCTCACACCCGATGAGTTATGAGCCCTGAAGTGTTTCGTCAGCGAGGGGTACACGACACCATCTACGACACCATGCTCGGCGCCCGCAAGCCTCTGCAACAACAAGAAATTGCAATCCTCCGACGGCAAACGTTTGACAAACGCCTTCCAGCTCACCTCTGGAGATAATCATGAACCGTTTCCGATGCGTGTAGGGCGCCTCATCCTGGTTCACCTGCCAGATCACCACCCCCGCCAACACGGCCGCACCGCACGCTGCCGCGGTCCCCTGATTGCTCTTCGGCACCCTCTGCTGTTGGCGCCTCTGCCACCGGTCTTGCCGCGATGCTCTGCCTCCACCTCGGGAGGATAATTCTCGAGTGAGGGATCGCAGTACCCATTGCTGCTGCCGCTGTCTGCACGCTTGCGGCCTGTACTGGCGGGGCAAATTTTAGACCGGCGGAGGAATAACCAACCTTTGAAGCGGTTTAGTCGCCGTGTTCGGACGGAAAACACGGACGACGTGTACTGCAATAGCTCCGGGTCAGATAATGGGTACAGTCGACCCCGCTTTAAGGACGCTCGTGTTAAGGAAACTCCCCGCTTAGAGGAAACTTGTTTCGCTGAGCACCGGGGGGCCCGTCGAATATACGATAATGGGGTACCCCCATTTTTTCTGCCGCGTATCCCTCTTTTTTTGTGTCCTGCGGGCCTGCGGGCCGCTCTTTGCACGAACCACGCACCACAGTTAGTGCAGAAGTAGCGACGCACAGACAGCAGATGTAGCGAGCGGTCTGCTGCTGCAGCTGCAACTGGGTGTTGATATGGATAGATTCCTCCCATCTACCGGCGGTCCATCTGATGCCGCCAAAAAAAGATTCGTGCATAACATCGTACCTCACCGAGGGCGAGGTCACCTCTCGCTTAGAGGATCGAAGTACCGGCCCAAGTCGTCCATTTCGTAAATGGCATTTCTTCTTCCTTTGGGCTTTCGCATCCTCCCGATTCTCTTATTCCTTCGACTACAACAAGTACTTCGTATTTTCTTTTTTCTGTCTTTTGATCTCTGAGGACAATCCACATCATCAAGCCCTCAAGACAGGTGGTGGAGAGTGCCATCAAACCCGTACAACAGAGGAGAGCATGTGGTTGTCGGCGATGTGTGGCAGTACTACAGTACAGTACTCACTGTGAACAGCAGGGGTGCGGCGGGGCGGGGTTGGGGGGGAATCTGCCCCCTACAAAAGAATGCACTTCTTTTCAGCTTGGGAGGGGGTTGGGAGCACCGCAGATTTCTGATGTCATGGGGGTATCGCACCATCACGTTTCTGATTGGGGCGTTTCTTGCGTTGTGGTCGAGATTGAGCTATCTATGTCAGCCCTTTTTTCTTATTTTTCGTACGAAGTTGAGCCATTTTTCTCGCAGAATTTTTCTTAACTGCGGGCGCTATCTGTATTTGTACGTGAAGGGAAGGGGTGGCGAGTACCGTGAGACGCAGTACCTTCTTTCGAAGACCGTTCATTCGTTTACTCATGAGACTCAACAGAGCCGCAGAGTCAAGCCGCGGGGGGAGATTCAGGGAACTCTTCGCGATATGTGGAAGGAAAAGCCATCAGGGTAGCTTTTGGTCTCCGCCGGGACAGTGATATGTACTGGTGTGTACTGGTGTTCCTCGGTGCGACGCTGAAATACGCTCGTTTTTTTTTGTTTCACAAGGTTGAGATAAAGATATGTCTACTTGGACTTTCCTCCTCCGTCCGCTGCCGGCTATGCAGTACATTAGTTGGCCACGTACAAACTGGTGTACTGTAGTTGTTTTCAACACGTCCCCGACTGCTGTACATCTACCTCATTTAAAGTATTGTAAATATGTTCGACGTCAACAAATGGTTGCCAGTCGGCGATGCTGACTTTTCGTACCACCCCCTTCCTTAGGAAAAAACGCGTAGTTTGAGGTATAGCACACCTCCATTGGCCTCGGGGATGGTGAGCTATCGCCCCCTGAATTAAAAGGACGCAACCCCGCTTCTTGTCAGGAAAAACCATGTGCGTACGTCGCACTTCACCTGCTGGAAACCACGCCACATCGCTTTGCGCCGGGTATAGCTGGGAAGAGAGGCCTCAACACATCCAGAGGACCTCACAACGTTGTTGGTGTTGCAAGCGGGGTGGTGCCGTGATCCTCCCCAATATTGTGGTACGACAGGGTAGTGGTACATGATAGACGAGAGCTACGGCATGATCACAAGCGTGCGAGACAGAGGCATACGAGAACCGCTGTGGGCGGAGCAATGCACACCAGAGCTTCAGGGCACTGAACTACATTCTCTAGTATGCAAATGAACGTGAGCGCACCACGTGAGAATGAATGAGACACAAGACACGATGCCCAAGTGTGGAGCATATATGTTTCACGATTGAAACCTACGCGCTGCTGCAGGTCACACTCTCGTGTCGACAAATCAAAGCTGACTCTATCCACACCTGAGAGCAGTGCGGATCCCGTGTGCGCTCCCTTTTTCGCCAATGACGCGACGGATTGCTGGTGCTCTGGCTACCCGGTTCGCCAAAGATATCACCTTAATCATGGAGGGCCTGAGGTATCACGACGAGGAATGCACAAACCGACAATGGCCCAGGGGAAGACAGACGATCGGGCGGTGCGGCGATGCGGCCGATGCGGCGCAATCGGTAAAAATTGGAGTTCCAACTTGACGCCAAACGTTCGCCCGCCATGAAACATTCGTACTTTTCGGGTTGTGAGGGGAAGGGTCGGTAAGATCGGGAGATCGGGAGAGCCCCTTAGAGCTTCTCAAATCGCGCGCGACGGAAGAGTCTGCGGCTAGTTCCGCAAAGAGGAGCCTTGTTACTTGTCTGGACGGCAAGTATTTCCTCGGGAGTGCAGTGCAACTCCATCGTTCCATCGGAGGAAGGGGTCGCGCCGCACGAGTGCTACTACTGCTGTACTTCGTACTGAAGTATGTAATCATCCGCAACCGTCAGCCGGTGTTGCGTGTGGGTTAGATGAGATCCGCGCGAAACTCGGTCTTCCCTTGACTGCCAATCATGCATGAAGAGTTGCCAGTACTGTGGAGTCACAATATTCAGAGTAAGAAGAGTAAATAAACTAAATGCCGCATGTACGCTTCATTCTGCCCCCCGGCTGTTCGCACCGTGAAGCGTGCATAGTCTAATAGGAGTCTGTGTACAGGCTGCGTACTCGAAAAAAGTGAAATCCTCACAGGTGGTGCTTATTCCTTTCACCATCCACACCTGACAGCTAAAAGAGCAAGACGACAATCTACGGACTCCGAATCCACCGGCTTCGGATTTCCCCTGCTGCCGCATCTCTCTACCCCCTCGCTCTCTCTCTCTCTCTCTCTCTCTCTCTCTCTCTCTCTCTCTCTCTCTCTCTCTCTC